AGTTCTTTGCCCTGGGCCCCTTAGCTGTAGCACAACCATCTGGGCCCATCACAGCACACCCTAGGGCTTGGGGACAGGCCACCTGTGCCACCTTGCTATGCTCCTGCTATTTGCTAGGGAGTAAGGAACTCCCTTCCCTTGATGCACCGAATTCCACCATTTATGCCTAGCATTCCCTGCTTGCTTCATGGACTTTGGATTCCTGTTACTCCTGGACGTTCGCTATAAGATTAGAGTTCTTTCCTGACAATGTCCCATGTTATTAGATAATATTTTATTAGGTGATAAAATATTGGTGGTTCCACTTTTATGGCCACCCAAATTCAATCAGACTACTTGAGAATCACTGAGGGACCTCAAGCCTTCCCCTGCTTGGTGGACCATTGAAAGCACAGTGACCAGCATGGGTAAGGAGTGACAAGAGTGTGTAACCTTGAACTCACTGCCTTGCAGTACACTTGGAGAACAAACAGTTATGGAAGTTTGCCTGAAGGATAGTCTTTCCCCAAAACCTATTCCCCCATTCTGGCAGACTGTCAAAAAGGCATATGCCTGAACCGTGATGTTTTGCTGTCATTTTGAACTGCTTGTGCTGAATTATTGCTGTTTTCTTGCAAGCTAACATCTGAGTCTACACTGAGATTCTTATATGGACCAAGTGTGTGAATTTCGTGTATTATGTGTATTTATAGAAACCATCTTAACTCTTTTCTAGGGAATGAAGTTATAAATGATTGTGAATTAATGAACAAGTGAATACAGTTTGAGAAGCTGTGGACCATCCAGTTGGGTTTTATGATAGGAACATATAAAGAAAGTGCAGGAATTACATTTGTTTGAACATCATTTATATGCCAGTCCTTGGCCAGGTGCTTTACTAACATTATAGCATTTAATTTTTTCTTCACACTATTCCCATTAGGCGGGTGGTACTGGTCCCATTTTACAGATGAGAAAACTTGGCCGTTGTATACTGGTGACATCAATATTCAAGCTCAGATGTGTCTGATTCTGATACCTGTGTTCTTTCCAGGACTCTTTGCTGTTCCATTATCGAGGAAATACAATTCCTTCTGTTTCTCAGCAGCAGGCAAGATGAAAACCCAGGAGAGTGGGCCAAACTGCTTCCCTCTTCCTGGCTAGGTTTTCCTTGAAATCTCTCATTTGAGTGTGTGTCCCTGCTGCCATCTGCTGGCAGCCTTGCTCGCCTGTGTTGTGTCTGCAAATCCCTCAATCCTTGTGAAGGTGAAATCCCTGGGCTTCAAAAACAGGCGAGAAGCTGAATGCAGACAACCAGCTGACACAGGGAATAAAGCTCTGTGGGAGGAATAATGGTCCTCCACCTTCCTGGGGGAAAGCACCTTTGAAGCTGCTGTCAGGTTTCACCAGATTTCACTCATCTCCAGGGAATGACAAAGCCCAGGTTTGACATCCAGCCACCCAAGCTTGGATGGTGGTCTCGTGCTAGACTGGGGACATCCATGGCCCCAGTCTGTAACGCTGACCACCACCCTGACAACCAATGAACCACAGGTAGGTAGCACAAGTGCCTTGATGATGAAGACTCTTAGTGGCTGGTGAAGCCAGGCTTGGCCTCCTCGCAGAAAGGAGTGACACCCAGGGGAATCAGGCTACTGCACATGCTGGTCCTTACCTGGGCACCCGGGACTGCAGGTGACTCCAGAGCCTTTGTTAAAAATGCCACACACACACACCCTGTGAAACATAATGGTTTATTATCTGGGGTAGATTGTAGAAAAACAGATTTCTGTTTTTCTTTCCTGGACAAAATGAGGGGAACCCATTTTGGGGGGCAGGGGAGCTTATTTCTGACTGTTGGGGAAGAAAAGAAAGCAGGAATTGTTGCCACGACAATTAGGAGCTCATCAAAGCCTCATTTTGCTCATCAGCCATCAGGGCCCTCCGTCTGCACTGCCCCCCCACCCCGCGGTCCTCTAATTCAATGCCCGCCTAATGAATAACTCCCAGGAACAAAAGACTCTTTCAGCCGGCTCACATAATTATTAGAGGAGCCTTGCCTAACTGTCGCAGGCTACTCCTGTTTTCAGGCCTGTCTCTAAATTTGGTTATTCACAACCTTTATAGCTCAATATTATTGCCTAACTGTGATCATTTTCTAATTATCCTAATAATACCTATTAAATAATTCCCATTAAATCATTTGAACCGGAGCAGCACAGGCCAGCTCAAATACAACTTAACCTAATAAGCATTGGTCATTCATTAAGCAACAGGCCAATCTCTTAAAGGGACTAGATAGAATATTGAACGCAAAGGAATATTATTATTGCACAAATGTTATTACGGGTTAGAGTGTATTAATTTTGATGGCCTGGCTTGCATATCTTCCGTTTGGTTTCCTTTGGGGCCGCTCTCCTTGACTTGACTCTATTCGTCTCCAGCTCCTTGTTGATCTGCATCTGTCACCCCCATGAGGACATTCAAGGAGAAAAGGCCCATAAACTTAACAGCGGAATTAAATTACCAATGATATAAAGGGAATGAATAGAATCTATCTTCTGACTAGTTTGGCACACCTTTGAACACTCTGCCAGCTGGTCAGATTTCTTTAGGTATCATTCAGAATAGCTTTTATCCTTCTTTCTTTTCTTTCTTTCTGACATCTGGAGATGAGGGAGATTTTCAGAAGCTTTATAAATGGTACGTATAATTTAAATTTCAAGCAATAACAATTAGAGAGACAATTCTTTAAAAGCGTATGTGTGTGGATCCTTAATAATATGTTGTAAGATAATATTAGGTAGCATTCTTTGAGAGTCTACAGTGTAGTAGACACTCTGGTATTTTGCCCATTAACACCCTAATTCTCAAAATGGCCTAATATGTAATGTGGGGATTATTATCTCCGTCTTTCAGATACGGCTTCTTGGGCCAGAGAGGTTAGGTGACTTGCCCAGGACAGTCAGCCTAAATGAGAAGGAACAGACTTTGAACACAGGGCTCTTTGATGCCTACAATCCACTTTTCCTACCATGCGTTGTGTCAGCATGTGTCGTTAACAGCCAAGTGAAACGTGCTCTAGATTCCCAGTATGTCCTTCTCATTCCTGAGGCTCCCTCGAGATTCCTAAAGACAAGCAGCAGAGCCTCTTGATCGGGAATATTGCCAAACACCGAACAAGGGAAGTTCATCCCACCAAAAAGTCCCAACAGCAGCTATGGAGACAGGCCGTGACTCAGTTCAAGCAGCGAGAGACACTCATTGTTTTTGTAAAGAGGCCTAATTCTGATTGACAAATGTGGGTTCTCTTTACAAGGAAGTCCACTGTGTAACTTAGTAAGAAAAGGAACAAATACTGGTTAACCATTTACCCTGGGTTAGGCAGGAGGTGAGCTTTCACGTAAATGTTTTTCCAATCTTCACTACAAATGCAAGAAACAGGAATGACCATCACTCTGGCATCATAAGCAAGAAACTGAGGTACAAGGGGTAGAGTTTGCCCCTAACATTTCCCTGCTAGCTACTGACAAAGGAACCATGCAGCTACGGACCCTATCTCTGGGGGCCCTGTGGGAGGCTCTGGAAGTGACCCTCACACCTCTGCAAGTTGTGTGAGCTTCAGGTCTCAGAAAGTCTGGATCTGCCTCTGCTATCATCACCGTTCTCTAGTAATTGCACTTTGAACAGAATTGAGAGGCTCCCCTCTCACTAGAGAGCTCACTACAGAGAACACAGAGACACGAACACCGAGTGTTGGCACACAGAGGTAGGAGTTTTCAACGCTCTATTGTTCACATTCAGTGTCACCAATACAATAGAAGGAAGGCTTCATGGCACAAAGCCAAAGAGACAACCCCCCAACACACTCCGAGTGCCCCTCCTATGCCTCAGCCACATGGCTGCTGGGAGAGTGTCCAGAAAACTTAGATGTCCTCGTCACCCCTTACGTGAGAACGCCTTGCCGGCTCCTTTTTTGTTAAAGTATTTCCTGTCTTGTCCTTGGCAGGTGCTGCCCCCTCTGTGGGAACAGTCTTCTCACCTCTCTGCGGACCCCCTGTTCCCCTCTGATGCTCACCTCCCTAGGTCCCCTCCCAGCACCCGGGCCTCAGGTCCTGGGTCTGTTTCCATTGCTCCCTCATGCTGTCCTGTCCCAGTGCTTGTCCCACTACATTGTGGCTTATCTGCTTGCACGTCTGAACCCTCGGTGGACTATAAACTTCTCAAGGCAGAAACTGCACCATACAAATTGTTCCCGACCCAGTGTCTGGACGTCTAGCACATAGAAGGTCATCTCCAGAGGAGCACTGTGTTCGAACAGAAGAATCTGAAGCTCTCAGGGGGATGGCTACCATCTGCTGCTTTACCTTGGGCCATGTGCTAATTAAATTAAGCATCATGTAATTTCTTCTTTAATCTTTTTTATTTTATTTTACTTTTTTGAGATGGGGTCTCACTACGTAGTGCAGGTTGGTCTTGAACTGACTTATGTAGCCCAGGCTTGCCCTGAACTCATGGTCATCCTCCTGCTCAGTCTCCCAAATGCTGGGATTATAGGCATGCAGTACCACGCCCTGATAATCTTCATTTCTTATCTTTGACATAGGAAACCATGACTGTGCCCATTTCAGATAAGAAGATGAAAGTTTATCAAGTGAGTGGCCCAAGGTTTGCAAAGGGAAAGGAGAGACCAGGACTGGCTTTGAGTCACCAAATACCCAATGATTTCTCCTGAATTTGCCGTAACCCCTAAATTGCAAAGAACAGTCATTCAGTGCAGCAGACCTGGGTATACCAGAAGTCCAGGTACAAGGCCCACGGACTGATCACTGCCAGAAGGAATCTCAAATGGCAGTACTAAAGAGTGAAGCAGTGTGGGCTTAGCACTGCCCATCCACTTTGACAGATCCCAAGTGATGACAGGTTTCCCTTGTGTTGTCCATGATAAGACCATCACTATTCTCAGACTGCAGACCCAGACCCATACCTGCCGCCCAGAGCTGCTAGGATGGACACTGTACCTGCTTCTCCTCGCAAGGCCTTCTCCAGCCTCACACCCTGGATCTCTGATGCCCTCTGTCGCTCTTCCACTTCTTCCAGCTGCCTCCAGATGGCCTGCAATGCCAGGATCACATGTCACAGGGGACCCTGGACACAGTCATACAAGGAGGGTGATTCTGTAGCTGACTGTCCAGGAGGGTGATATTGCTGCCCTGATAAACTGAGCAAGGACCTCTGAACACCCAAACAGCCAGACCTGGATGTCTCCTTCTTTAGTAAGAGGCATAAAGCATGGAGGCTGTGTGTGAGTTCCATCTGCCCCCAAGTAGACATTAAAACACTTCCCTGTGATGCAGCCAATCATACCAGAGTCCTTTAAGACAGGGGCTAGGTGGTTGTTGTGATACTGGGACTCCTCAGGGCCCACAGCTTCTGACTATGGTCATGGCACAGTGACAGGGCTGCAGTACCACACAGAGTAGGGTGGGGGCTCGCACAAATATAGTGTCTGCTCACTTTCTATTTCCCAGGAAGAACAAAACTGTACCTCCTGACAAGGAGACCTGGGCCAGCTCCAGGGGCTTGGTGTTCATTCTTGGGTTGCCCTGCTTTTGTCCTTAGCTTCAAATGGAACTTGCTGCTTCTTGCACTCCAGGCTGATGCCAGAGTGCTGCCACTGTAGACATGCACTGTGGCTTCGTTCCCAGCAAGGTGCAGAGACAAGACCCGAGCTATTTAACCCATTCCAGAATAGCTCCTACTCTGTTTAGATTCACCACGAGCACCCAGGAAGGTTTGGGACCATGGCTGGGTTTGCATTTATGTCTACTTTTCTTCAGCTAATCTTCTTTTGGGTCGATGAGGAAGGACATTTGGGGAAAGCCATAAGTTTTGTTCGTCCCCATCAGTGTTCTTTGCTTTCTCTGCCATGCTGCCAAAAGGCACACTCCTTGGCAGCACAGGCTTTGCACCTGGCAGCAGAGGTGTATTAAAGGCAGGGGGAGCACCTGTGTCCTCCTCTACTACACTTCGACTGTCCCACTCCCCTTCCTCTTCAACCCCGCATGCTCCTCTCAAGTCCCAGGTCCAGGAGCTGAGCTACCTCTGACTCTGTGAGGAGATCTAATCAGGGTTCCAGCTAGGAGCATATGAATCCCAAACATAAAATATAAAGTACAGGGGGATTCTATCATATAACTACTCTTGTGTCCTCTTCCTGTCTCTTTTTTAAAGACAAGTCTATCTTCATAAATCCATCTCTTGCTAGTATGGTATAGCACTGCTAAAGAATGGAAACATTTAACTGACTTTATTCATAATAACTGGTTCTTATGCAGTTACAGCTACTTGGTTGTTACGGACTAAACAGTATTCCCCCAAAATTCATATGTCGAGGCCCTACTCCCAATGTGACAGTGTTTGGAGACAGGGCTTGCAAGGACGTAATAAAGGTTAAGTGAGGCCATAAGGGGGGAGCCTTCATCTGATAAAATATGTGCCCTTATAAGAAGAGGAAGAAAGCCTAGTGGCTGCCCTTCCTCTCAAAAAGACCAGAGGAAAAGCACCTGTCTACAAGCTAGAGTGGAGATCTCACCAGACACCCAATCTGACAGCACCTTGAGCTGGGACTTTTAGCCTCTAAAAATGAAGGAATAGATGTTTGTTGTATAAGCCACTCCATCTGTGGTATTTTGCTATGGCCACCCAAGAAGACTGACCCACTGGTTATTCTGTAGGTATTAAGGATCAAAAAGGGTCACTCTGGGTGCTGGCAGGTTAGGACTCAAAAGGCCATTGTAATTCTTCTCTTATTACCACTTTCCACCTGGAGTATGAAATTGCCATGTTTGCCAGTCGGTAGCATAAAGACTTGTTTTGTTCTTAGAAGGAAAAGCTGAAATGCTCCAAGGAAACCTGTTTTAGAAGTTGACACAGAGGTGAGCTCATAGGAGTTGTCTCTGTCCATGGGGTGCAGGTGGCCCCTGAGTCAGCTACTAGGAAGGGTACAGGGGACTCAGTGACTTCCTTCTTGGTATAAACAACTCACACGATGCTACAGTGTGGGTCTGGAATGTCCCCCAAAGGCCCAATATCACAGGCTTGGTCTCAGCCCGTGGTGCTCTTCGGAGGGAACTTAGGGAGATGTGGCCCAGTAGAAATTAAGTCACTGGGACTGTGCCCTAGGAAGAGGCACTGTACTGAGACCCCAGTCTCTCCTCTTTATCTCTCTTTTCTTCATGGCCACCAGAAGGTAAGCAAGTTGCTCCACCTTGAGCTCCCTACCCTGGTGTGCTGCCTCACTGTAGACCTACAGCAGCAGGACCGACTGATCATGAACTGGAACCTGGACACTGAGAGACCAAATAAACTTTTCATCTGTTCAAGTTGATTGTCTCAAGTATTCTGTTATAGTACTAGGCAGGTGACCAACACCCAGGATTACATGGCCAGAGAAATGGCATAACTGGAGAAAGTGATGGAAAGGTAAATGGATTAAGTGGTCATTCTAAGTCCTATTGTCCTGAAATCCAGCTGTTCTTCAGGACTCACTTGGGATCCTCAGGTAGATGCAGAATGTCTAGAATTTCTGCTTTGTTTTTCCTGTCTCTGATGGAACTGAGCAGATCCTCTTGGGCAGAAATGTTTGGAGTAAACCACCAAGCCAGAAAATCTATACTAGAATGCAGGATACTTATGTCTTCAGCTAATCCTGCAATGGAAACAACCCCTCATAGCTGTCAGTTTCACAGAGACATAGTCAGGGGGTTGGTGGCAGAATAGTGTCCTTGGAGAGGACAAAATGAAGGTAATCATCATATGTCAGTCAGGTCCAGCAAGCCCCAAGGCCATGAGCTGGCTCTTTTTTCAACCTCACTTTTCAGGACGCTGACCGCACATGGAAAGGTGGCTGGGCACTGACCAGCTCAAGACCTGGGCTCCCCAGCCCTAGAGCCCCACTAGGGATGGAGCTGGGGCCTTCAGAATGGTCACAAACCTGGTGCCTCAGAGAAGAAAGGCTGACTTTTCTCCAACCCGCCTTTTCCCCATCCCAGTACGGATGCCCAAAGGGCGTTCATATCCTGATTCCCAGGACCCCAGACCCAAGCCCACTCACTCATCTCAGGTTTGTTTTCTGACCTGAGCTTTATGAAGTCTTTTCAATTCTTCTTGCTTAACCAACTGCTTTGTTGCTTTTTCCAGCTTCCTTCTTTTCTTGAGTGTCTTCTTCTCCTATGAATACCAGTAGAGAAGAAAAAACAGGACTGAGAAAAATGGGATTGAAATTTACAAAATATCATCACCTTTCCAATGGTTCTTAGCTGTTGCTCCACTGCTGGAATAATGATGTCCATAAGAGTTTCTGCAATGATGGAAGTGACCTATATCTATGCTGTATAAAATGTAGATGTCACTAGCCTGCTGGGCACTGGAAATGCAGAGTGTGAAGAAGAAATAAAACTTCATTTATTTTAAATTTAAATATAAATTTAAGTAGAAACATGTAGCTAGTAGGTTCTGGAATAGGAGGTGCGTGCAAGTGTGTGTGTGTGCGCGCGCACGCGCGTGTGCAAGTGGGAGTAGCTGTAATGAGTACTGACTGGGTACAGTTGAGGAAAGGAATAGTATAAGAATTATACTTCACATGTCTGCTATCCTATCACCCAAGCACGATGGACCTGGGATAGATAGGTAGGCAAAACACACACACACACACACACACACACACACACACACACTCAATACATGAAAACCAATTAACTATATAGCACTTAGGTTAGGTCTACAATATCATTAAACCTATGAATAGAAGAATAGACATTTAAATAACTTCAACAAAAGTGTTCCTTGGTTAGAGGTAGGCACAAAGTCTTTTGGCCTTATCTCACTTTGCTGTCACTTGGTTTCAACTGTACCTGGGCATGGAGAGAGAGAGAGAGACAGACAGACAGAGACACAGAGAAGGAAGCAGGAGGAGAGAGAGAGAAGGAGAATTCAAATTTTCAAATTCAATACATGTAAAATAGATGTCTGGATCTTGATGGTATCACTTTACTTCCAGGTTTTAGACACCAAAGAAAGTAGAAGTGGTGATATGGCCAGTTCTACCATTGGCAAGTTCAGGGGACATTTCTGATCAGAGAAGTAGCACAGTAAGTGCGGAGTCCTGAGCCCAGAAGCCTGGAAAAGCTGCCATCAAATCCTGGCTTAACTGTATGTGGTTCAGCTGGTCTCTCAGATTTCTGAATGTCGGAGGTCTCTTGCGAGGAATGAGAGTGATTCAAAAGGGTATAAGGATGAAATGAGATGATACAGGCCACGCCCTTTACAGAATGCATGGAAAAGGAATGGGATAAATACTCAGTAAATAGCATGATTTTTATTATCAGCATGTCTGTTATAAGTTAGTGTGCTTACTTTTTCTAAAGCTTATTTTGTGTATATGTGTAGGCACATATATTTTATATTCACACTCACATATGCATCCTGCATACACAAAATAAATGCTCAAACTGGGATTGTATTGACTTTGCCTTCTCTTAGCAAACATATCAACTTTCTGTATATTAGAATGAAGGTTAAAGCATGCTAAATTTTTTTTTAAACACTGGTAGAAACAAATATTGACTTTAAAAATTGTGATAGCTAGCCTGGTGCCTAAGCACTCAGCACTTTGGGCGAACTGACTGCTTTGTAAGTGCTTCTAACTCCTTGAGTGGAGAATAGAGACCTGAAAAACCTTGCCACAGCAATCTGGGTCCAGAACAGAGCCAGAGACTATATCTTGACAGCACATATATTTCAGGATCTTGCGGCTCCTTGTCACTCAGTCCCCTTTCCCGTGGATGTGGATGGACAACCCACCACTTTTCTTAGGAAAGCATCTAGCTTGAGGCCTCTCACTCTGTGCAGATCATCAGGGAAAATGCTCATTCAGTGTCAAAATTTGTTTTTCTAGAATTCTCCTTAGCACTTAGTGTCCAAAATATCTTCATCCTTGCATGGAAACTTTAGCTTTCACAATTCAACTTACTCCACATCACATCCTCTTCAGTCCTAGGGGATTCGCTTCAGGTTGGTCATCAACTGTTCTACCAGAGGGTTCTGGCCTTTTGTGCAGGGATCTCTCCACTAGGCAGCTCTGATCTTTAGGAAAAGGCTGGAATGGGCAAGGGGTGGTAGGGATCAACAGTGGCTGCTACCCAGAGGTTATCTAGCTCAATCTTTGTGGAGAGTCAGTTCATTTAGTCAACAAGTATCTCTGGGACTTCCATCATTCTAATTTATGTAATACATCCCAGCATTTACAGAGAGCTATGTGCCAGACACTGTACTAATACTTCACCTGTATTATCTCATGGATTCATTGGATTGTACTTACTTGACAAATATAATAATCAAAACTCAGAGGGAATAAATACATGGCCCAAAGTGAGACACCTATTAACTGGCAAAGGATTTAAGTCCCAGCAGGCTGGATCTAGTATCCACATCTGCATGTAGTCTATACTACCTTTTCTTAGGCCTCACACTGTAGGGGCACATCAAGGGTCCCTGTGCTAGAGTGGGTGGGTCCTATAAGAAAGAAAGGCCATTTCCCCTAAAGGGAGACTTTTTAATACAACTTCCGGTCATCCCAATAGCGCCATCTTAGTGCTTCCCAACAGCAAAACGATCAAATCCTGACTGCTTTCTCAAGAGTCAGCAAAATGAAGCCTGCAGGTAGAAAGGAAGTCATTTATCATCTTTTATTTAAAAATATGAGAAGAATGATGCTTTATGAGCAAACACTCACACAGGATTATGATAGGCCAGGCTTTGTGTCCCCCACCATCCCCGAGAAGGGGGATTGAACCCAAGGCTTTTGAATTAAGCTACATCCTCAGCCCTTTTTTAAAATTTTGAGACAGGGTCTTGCTAAATCACTAAATTGCCCAGGATGGGCTCGAACTTACAGTCCTTCTACCTCAGCCTCCTGGAGTGCTGGGATTACAGGCTCAGTTTTTATGTCCTCAGTGATGTTGAAGATACAGAGGGGAAAGAAGCTAAGGGTGAGCACAGGAAAAAAACAGTAAATAAAAAGGCAGAGAGCTGGCAGGACCAAAGACAAGCTGCCACATGTCTTCCTGTCTTGGTCTCTGAGATCCAGACGTGTGTTTGGGAGAGGCCGACAAAAGGAAGAGGCAGAGAGAACAGAGTCTGTCTCCAGTTTCCTGTGCAAAGCTAGCACGGGCTCTGCGCCACCTGGCTGGGGACACACCTGTGTGGGACAGAAGAGACAAAGAAACCAGTGGACAGAAACCTCCCCTCGTTCTTTCAGAGTGAGCCTTTGGGAAGTCATAAATGAGGTGTGCTTTTGCCAGCTTCCATTCCTGTAAGATCTGGACATGTCAGGAGCCAGGCGAAGTGGGTACACTTTTACCACATGGCCAGCTTCAGGGACAACTAGCTCCGTGCTGGGCCAGCAGGAGGACAAGGAGCTATTTGTGAGGCTGGGCCTAGACTCTTCCATTCTTTTATTCTCCATGAGTATCAGGATGGCAGATGCTGGGCTCTGTGTCTCATTTGAATACAGAATTAACTTAGGGTCACTCAAGGAGAAGCAGGAGTAGTAAGGAACCCCAGAAATCCACACAACACACATCATTTGTGCTGAGTACTGAACTAATCAGAGAAGCCCACATTTAGAAATGAGAAGTTTGTACTCATTCTCTCTCCATCTCTCTCTCTTTCTCTCTTTTCCCTTCCTCTCTCTCTTGTCCCAGCTTCCTCCTGGCTTGTTCCAAGCTGGGCCATGGGGAGTTGGAACCCTTGAGTGACTTGAGGTGATGCCAGAGTTTCTAATGCCAGATATGGAAAAGTTGAGTCTGAGTAAATAAATTTGTCCCCCCTCCCCAATCCTCCTCACTCCTCTAAAAAATAAACATTGCCAGAGCAGTGAACCACTTCTCTGTCCACAGGGAAGCATTTTAGGTCCAGCCATTCAGCACCCCAGCCCGAGTCCCATGGAAAGGTTCCAGCCCCAGTGGGTAAAGAAAATAGCAGTGAGCTCTTATGGACGCTTGTCTCCACGTACGTGACCTACAGACATATCTACAGATACACACATATGTTTGTGCTTTTGATCTATGGGAATGAGAGTTGTTAAAATATTAACATTCACCAAGCAAAGAGTACTGCAGCCTCCCCAGCGGGCACATAGCTAAGTCCCTTCCCCTGTAGGATCCTGGGGTGCCCATGTCTAGATGCAACTGCATGGTTCATTTTCCTAGTCCTGCTTGGAATAAACATAACATTTTCCATGCAGTCTGCCCCAAGTGCTTCTTAAATGAAGCTGCGCCTCCCTTGGGGACATATGCATCTGCTTGTTGTGATTTTTCAATGGTTTTCTTGTTGGGCCACGTATTAAACCCACTTTAAGAGCTGCAGTCACCAAATGGTTTCAACTAAATATGTGGGGTTTTTTGTTTGTTTGTTTGTTTTTCTTCCCCAATTCGAGTCTCTGGGAAAATGTTTTGAAGGAGACAATTCCTGGGGGGTTCCAGGTAAAAAGAAGGGCTGCTGTCAGATGCAATTAAAGCGAGAGCCTCCTGGTGAAATCTCTGCAGCTGGAGCCCACATTGGGTCTGAAATCTGGATGGTAAATAGTTCCCTTGGGCCAATGTCCTGCTGGGTTTTCCAAGTGATGTTACCTGTGACCCCAGGGAAAGCTGGGGATCAAATTCTTCATCAGCAGAGGAGGAGGTGGTAGAAGAGAGAGAAGAGGTGGCCTCTGTCACCTGCACTCCGACACGGTCATGCTTGGATCCTGAAATGGGAATAGAAGAGTTCACCGAGCTATTAGCGGCTTTTCCTGCTTCATCCCCAAAGCTGCCCTCCTGCCCCTTGCTGCTCACCGCACTCCCTTCCTCCCTGCACCTGCCAGGGGCTGGGGGAGGCAGTACCTAAGGACAACTGCAAATTTGGCCCTCCACGTTAATTACATTTCTGGATCACTTCCAAGAGCTTTGCAGCTCTCTTCTCACATTAAAAAAAAAAGTATTATGCAGAAATCAATTAATTCCTTAAACACCATGTATATAGTGTGTGGTGTGTTTACAATGCATTCAGAGATGAAATCTATTATTAAAATGCATGTCTGAAGTTAGCTGAGTTACCTAAACGCTTGTGTAAGGTTCATTCTGCAGAGTAATTGAATGCAAAAAAAAAGTCAGAGCCAGCTCTTAAATCGCCCTTCTGCGGCTCACAGCATCTGGCACCCATTTTTACTACATGACATCTGCTCAGTGTAAAAGAGCTGGCGTCAGAATGTCTGGTCATAGAAAAAAAATCCCAAATGTAATCAGAAGCAAAAGGACTCTAAGCCTAAGGTTTTATCACATAGTCTCATGCAACATAAATATTTCATTAATTATGGCTAAACAAATGCCACTTTTATTTTCCCAACTTGCAGATATTATCACATCATCGAAGTGATGATTCCAGTGCCAGGAAAGGCGGTTTCAGATAGGGATGGCTCAACAATGCTGGGCCTGAGGGAGAGAGCTGAGGTCCAGGCCATGCCAACCTCTGAATAAGAGTGAGACGGCTGGGGCAGCGATGCGCCCCTGTTAACCAGAATCTCTTTGATCTGGCTGGGGACCAGGTGTGATAAGGGCTTCCAGGTGCCACCGGAGACTTTCATTTTTCTCAGCAAGAACATCTGCCTCCATGCATCTACCTGATGCAGAGCTGGTGATTAATATCTGGATCAAAACCCACCCTGGACTCTGAATATCAGAACAAGCAAGGACTCCATGATAAGAAACTTACTCATCCTCATTCTGCGATGTCAGCTTGTGTCTGAATAGAAATTTATACTGGGTGGGGGGGGAGGAGACACAGTTCCAAGTCAGCTAACATTCTCTCCAGCTTGCCTTCTCTTCCCCATAATTTTCAACTATTTATCCCAGTGGGAGAGGCCAAATTTTACAAAATAAGGGTAATTTTAACCTCCAGGAGCACATTTACATATGCTGTTATTCAAACCAAAATAATGCAAAACATGTATATAATAACACAGCCTCTCTGGGGAGGGAGCTCAATGTTTTCCACTTTAATTTGCCAGATGGGAAGGCTCAGGTAAAGATAGAATCAGAAGCCAGCATAATAATGGGAAGGAGGCACTGTTTAGTGGGGAGCTGACTGTTTCCCAGTCCCAGCCACTACATAACCATGGAATACTTCAGTCGCTGAGTGTTTACTACTTAGTGTGAAAGGAACTAACCTTGAGTTTCTCCTGATCATGACTTCTAACTTGGAGAATTACTGTGAGAGAGTAAGGAAAATCAAAGCAAAGTGCCCAGCACAGCAGCTGGTACATCTGGAGGGGCTGAACTGAGTGTAGTTCTCAACATAGCCATCATCACCGCCATCAATCCCAATATTAGTAAAACTCCCTGATTAACCTTCCTTTATGGAAAAAGTACAGATTGAAAGTTGTAACTTTTCCTAACTTTCAGAAAAACCATTTTCCTGCTGAATTTCATTTTGAAATTGAGGAGATAATGCATCCAAATATAGCATATTGCTTAAGCTGATGGCAAGAACAAAGTTATACAGTTGCCTCTGTCTCTCCCGCTTTACTTTTTCCATCACAGAACCAATGTTTCTGGAGTTTGCTTTTTCATTTGCAAAGTTTTAAGAACTTTGCTGATTGTTCTATGCTGGCTGTGTTTGGGTGACTAACTCAGGAATTGATCTCCTGCCACAAAGCACTAGAAATCAGGAAAAAATATGTGAGGCATCTTTTTCCAGACATCAGACAAAAGGCAATGCAGAACTGGATTAAAGGCAAGAACAGAAGCCACTGAGGAAATCCCTACAATCACAATGGCTTTCTGCCTGGAGGCCCTCTCCAGATCACAGTGCAGGTAGGAAGAACCTAAACAAAGCATAGCAGGTTCACTGAGTTGAAAAGATAGATCAGAATTTAGGCAAGCTAAGGCACATGGAATGTGTGAGGCAGAGCATGAGAGAGAAGGAGCTATCCAAGGGAAGAACTCCAGAAATAATCATAGAAGTCCTTCTGCATCTATTGCTTCATAGTACCCTGAAGATGCACAGAGAAATTCCATGAGGTTAGGCAAGTAGTACACAATATCAAATGTTCTCGTGGGATGGGGAGATGTTTAATTCTACCTAACCAAGGTAGAACAGACATTTGAGGCATTAGAGAACACAGAAGAGTCACATTTTATTGACAGGAATAAATTAGCCTAAAAGTTATTACAGATACACCTTAACAAAGCTTAAAAACAAGCGTTATGCCAGGCACATAGGTACACATCTGTAATCCCAGCACTCTGGGAGGATGATACAGGAAGATTGCAAATTTGAGTTTAGCCCGGGCAACTTAGTGACTTAGTGAGACTGTGTTTCAAAACAAAATAAAAGAAAAAGAAGAAACTTGGGCTGGGAATATAGATCAGTGCAAAGTCTCTGAAAGAAAGAAAGAAAGAAAGAAAGAAAGAGAGAGAGAAAGAAAGAAAAAAAAGATTTCCTACTAATCTATCCATAACTGTGTAAAGTTTGTAACGTTCCTATCCTATTTCATAAATGGATGTATGTTTATTATTATGTGTTTCCTACAACAACCATTGAGAATAGTTAATGATTTTTCAATAGGTCACTCATGTATAGCTCTATTTATTTTCTTTAGAAGCCACTTTGAAGATACCAAAGTATAGCACAACAACTCTTGATAATCTCCTACCTCTTTTGTCTCTAACACACTATTATTTGTCTGTTTTCCTGAGAAACTATTTTGTAGATAATAATATGTAAAACGATAACCATTGATAATTTCCTACCATTTTGTCTGTAATTTGTTAAGTCCCCCCTATTATTATGTTATCCTTCTTTTATTCTTTAAAATAAAAAAAAAAAGAAAAAAAGAAAGAAAGGAGGGAGGGAGGAAGGAAGGAAGGAAGGAAGAACAGCAGCCTTGAAAGGACCAGTTACTTTACTGCCTGCTACATGTCCCTTATCCACTATTTAACATTCTTTCAATACAGACACAAAATCTAGACAATATAATGCTAGTCCAGGAGCTGGTCTACATTTACTAGGTGTGTAAAGCAGTAGGAGATGCCTTATAATCAAAAGAAAACCAGTCAATAAAAGTCAACCCAGAAGTGACAGAGATAATATAATCAGCAGACAAGGATTTAAAAACAGTTGCTATAAATGTCAAGAGTTTAAAAAGAACCCTACCAAAAACTTGTTAGAACTAAGAAATGAATTTAGGAAAGTTGTAATATACAACTTTACATATGAAAATCAAAATTTACATATGAAAATTTACATATGAAAATCAGTAGCATTTCTATACACTAATAACAAATTATTTTAAAAATGAAATCATAGAAACTCATAGAAGCAGAGTAGAATGGTAGTTGGCATGATTACGAAGTGAGGAATAAAAGGATGTTGGTCAAAGAATTTAAAATTTCAGTTAAATGGAAGGAATAATTTCAATGAGATCTATTGTATAATGTAGTGATGATGGTCAATAATGTTTTGTGTTCTTGAAAATTGCCAAGTGAATAGATACCAGAAAATGTAAGCATGTGAGGCAATTCATATGTTAATTAGTCCTACTGAGTCATTCCACAGTGGATGCACTGCAAAGTATCATATCTTGCAAGATAAATATAACAAGTTGTGTCCATTTAAAATAAATAACTAATTAAGATAGTACAGAGCTTAATGAAGGTAGGAGTAGAAGGTGAAGAAACAACTAATTAGAACTATCAAAATGAGAATACAAAAGTGAAGTGAAAATTCCACTGGATTCTTTTTGTCTTTTTGAGACAGGGTCTCACTATGCAGTTCAGGCTGGCCTGGAGCTCACTTTGTAGCCCAGGCTGGTCTTGAACTTGCAATGATCCTCCTGCCTCAGCTTCCTGAGTGCTGGGATTACAGGTATGCTATACCATGCCCAGCTCCCCACTGGGTCATTTTAACATTAGATTAAACATGGAAAAGGAAAATAATCAATGTAATTAAATAATAGCAATGGGAACTATTTAAAAGGAAGCACAAAATGAAAACTGAACAGAATGAATGGAAAAGATAAACAGAATCTCAGTGATAAAATCAAGTAGCTTAAAATACATATGAGTGGCATGATAGAAAGAGGTAAGGAGAAACAGAAACCAAATGGTAGTTGATGAAGTGCTGTTGAAACTCCTCCAAATTGAATGAAAATCACCAATTCACAATTCCAAGAAGTTCCATTATACCACAAGCAGGATAAACAGAGAGAAAAATCATAGAAGTTCATGATAATAAAATGGCTGTAGATCAGAAACAGAAAACTTTAAAAGACAAAGAAAACTAATACATTGCACACAGAGAAACAAAGATGAAACTGTCCATGTACATTCCATCAGAACCTAAATAAGCCAAGAGAAAATGGGACATTACTAAAAGCTAAAAGAAAAAAAACAGTGAATTTCTAATTCTACATTCAGTGAAACTCTCCCTTCAAAACAAAGGCAAAATAATGGCTTTTTAAAAGCAAAACAAAAGCAGGAGTAATTTGTTGCTAGCAGATAGGCATATAAAAATGTGAAAAGATCTATAGCAAATAGGTATGATACTAGATGAAATGAATAATTCCAGAAATGGTAAGGAAAAATAATTTATCTTCTTGGTTTTTTTTTTACTATTTCATGTAACTTAGATTGAAATGTAAAGAAAGGAAGAAAGGCTTTTTAACATTGTAGTAAAATGTATTACAAAAATAACAAAAAGGTTAAGAGA